CCATTTGCTTGGTGTGTATGGTGCGCACATAGAGAGAAAATATATATATATATATATAAGTGCTGTCAGAAAATAATATATCTAAATTAGTGCTGTCAATCGATTAGACATTATAATCCCGTTAATCACAATAATACTCTGTGATTCATCATGATTCATCCTACCGGTACTTAGCACATATGCTGGTGGTGGTATATTCTATTATGAGCACGATGTCTAACTCCTGTGCAACTTCAACAAACTGGCTAGCCCATGCTTCGGCAGTCAAAGCAATTGAGTCAAGTTTCCATTTGCCGTGGATTAGGTGTGTCATTACATCGAGGTACTAATGTCCAGTGGTCTCCAGTCAGTGCAATAGCTTGTGCAGATTCCTCTGCTTTATTTGCTTTTTTACTGCCATGCAATTCATGGTAAACATCCACGCTGGAATTACAGGAGGATGTTTTGTCCAACTTGTTGATGTGGTTAATTTGGGTTCATTCTTTTTTACGTCTTAGGTCTACCAGAATAAGCGCAAGGGTTAAAGCATTAACGTTAAAAACATAACTACATAATAACAGGTTTTAAATGAAGCAGAGACATTTTAATCTGCTTTTATATACTTATGTGTAGGCTGCAGCTTTTTGAAACCTGTGTTGCAATGATTTGCTAGTTAAAGGGGCTTTATTATGCTTTTTGAGGTTGTTTCCTCTCCTGTAGTGTGTTAGGTTTGTGTGAATGTGAATGGTCTGCAAACCCTCAGCTGTCACTGTCGGCAGAAATAGCCTGTTTCATAATTGTAAGTGTTTTGTAAGTATGTCATGTTGCATGTTTTCTAAATGGGCCCATGTTGGTGAAGATGTTACCTCATTTGCATGTGTTTTGGCACATCTTTTATTTATTTATTTTTTTCATAGTTTTTTAAAGTGCAGCAAGTTTCTTCTAATGTAGGTGTTTGAGCGCATCTGCCCCGGTCTGCCACTGTACTAATCTAATGGCATTATTTGAATGCACTGAACTTCTAATGTTGATGATGACAGAAGTGGATAGAAACATGCATTCATTTGCATTTTCTTTTGTTATTTTTTTCTTAAATTTAAGTTCACATTACCTATCATAAATAGTGGTAGTAAAGCAATGTGTGCGCATTACAAATATCCAGCAACTGAAATCATTAAAAGCACATTAACTGGCAGGTAAGAGAAGAGAATAGACAGCAGGAAAATGTTTCTGTTCTGTCGAAATGTTGGAGGAAGAACTTGGCAGAGTGCGATGTAACTGAAGGTCATGAAGAGATTCTTAACCAAATCAGGTTTCAGATGAGCTGAGAGTTATCCAGCGCTGGGGAGACAGAGGAGAGTCAAGGGCAGGTGAGCAGCTTCCCTAAGGGAAGGAGAACCAGATGCAGAGTAATACCACAGTGAAGGGCTGCTCTAAAGGTGAAGCAGAGCAAGGCCGGTTCTCTTTCATCATATTCACGCGGGTGTACTATGAGCCGAGGACCTCCACCCCTGTAATCACTGCAGGTGCCCTTAGTGGCAATCCTCTCATCCAATCCGCTGTAAATGAAAGCACCCGAGTTAAATCACCTGCTGTATTTGGAGGAATATTCATTTGGTGCAAATTAGAAGTCTCCATTGTCTCTAGTTTGATTAGTTGTGTATGTTAATGTCATCATCTTTAAGATGTAGTCTTCAATTTCCATCAGATTAGATCAGAATAGATTATAATAGATTATATAAAATGAGGATGGATTCATTGCACTTGAGGTAAAAATAAACATAAACTGTTAATGTCATAATCTTTAAAATTAGATTAGATTAGATTCAATCAAATCAGATACAATTAGATTAGACAAAATTGGATCAATTGATTTTAAATAGGAATTTATTCGATAAAAACTGATCGGGTTTACATCAGATTAGATTAGATTTAATTGGATAAGATTGATTTAGATTAGATTGAATTATATTAAATTTAACTTCATTTATTTAAATTAGAATAGATCAAATTGAATTATACACATTTAAATCAAATAAAATGTGATAAGATTAAACTTGATTAGATAAAATTAAATAAGATAAAATTAGATTCAATTTATTCAACCCTAATTTAATTAGATTCAATTAGACTAGATTAAATTAAATTAAATTAGATTATGATGGATCAGATAATATTCAATTAGATAAGATTAGATAAGATTTGCTTTGTTTATTATTTTAATTATGTTGGCTATAGCAGCAGGTTAACAAGGCATTGGACATACATTAACAAAGAAATTACAAATATCAATAATAAATCAATACATATCTAGTAGAAAAACCTATGTTTATAAAGCATCTCTATCAAATACAAAATGAGTTAGTAAACACTATGATTGACAAACAAAATATAAACATAGGTTACTTTATACAGTACATTATATGAGTTAGGAGTAGTTGCAATCTTTAAAATAAAATGTAGAATTGAAATGCAATCTTTCAAGCTTCCTTCCTTTTAATTTGTTTAGGAACATGAGACCAGGGTTGTAATTACACTTTCTCTGGATAAACACTGGATTTCATGTGGGTCATCTTGGGGATTTCCATTGGTTTTTATTAGTTCATGTATATTCATGTCACTAAGTGCAGAGATGTCCAGTGAAACATTTGTCATAATGGTCAACCATATAATACTCCTGCCACGGCTTAAAAATGACTAGTTTCCCTATAAAGAGGCAAAGCATGGGGGGGGATAATAGAACTACAATACATGACCAGGATGCCTGACACAGAAATCTACTTAAAAGCATTTCACAGTTGAGTGCAGGGGGGAGAGGACTCAGCATTGAGTGCTTATGTATGCTTTTTATAGAGTACTGTACATCAGTATTGGAACAAACATTACATTTCTTGAAAATACTACTTGATTCATTTTAAAGAGGCCCCATTTTACACCTGTCGTGTATTCTTGGGTTACATTCTCACAATAACAAAAAAACAATACTGCTCGATGTTCTTTGATTCCAAATGAGAAGACTCTAATGCTATCGCATCCCGTCCGGTGTGAACGCAGCATTAGACTTATCAGCATTTTAAGCATTATTTCTCTACTTTTATATTCTTAATGTTTTATTTATTTATGCTATATTTAGCATAAATAAATATATTTTATGAAATGTTTATCACTTTTTTTATTTGTTATGGGGGCTCTTGTTTTGGTTATTCTGGTTTGGTTTTATTTTTGTTCATTTACAACTATGTTACAACTTAATTTTTAAGAATGTATTTTTCGATACAATGTTTATCACTATAGATTTTAATTTATTGTGAAGGTTATTGTTTTGGTTGTTGTTGTTTGGAATGAGTTTTGTTGATTATATACAATTATATTACAAATAGATTTTTAGGTATGTTTTGAACACACTGTTCAAAACATACCTAAAACATAATAAAATGTCTTTTCTTCTATTTATTTATATTAATTAAGGTATTTTTTTATTTATTGTAGATGTTTGTGTTTTTGGTTGTTACTTTTTGGGTTAAGTTTTATTAATATCTAACTATTCTCGAAATGTATGTTTTTAAAAAGTGTTTATTATAAAAAAAAATGTTATAGATTTTTTTAATGTACAGTATATATATTTTATTATTTTGGTAGGGGAGTTCTTCTTTGGTTTTCTTGATTGGGTTGTGTTTATATTTATTTGTTATTATTTTTAAATACATTTTTCATAACTTGTATGTTTTGTTGTATAACTTGTCTTCCTCAAAGCAAATAAAGGTACTCAAACAAAGATAATTGAACATTATCAAATTAGATATCAAGTGCAGTCTCTCACAACAGTATTTGTAGCAAAATGCTTCTTTAGGTGCTGCAGTTCTACTATCTCTGAGCTTGAATAAATATCCTATTTCTGATGTGTGCTGCTCTGCTGTGTTGCTCCTTGTGCTGACACTCAGTTCTGTTTGTCTCTCTGTCTGTCTGTCCCCTCAGGCCAGAGTCACAGATCTCAAGTCTGGCGTCATCGTCTTGAGGATTTTCAGAGACATGAGCAACAGACTGGCTGGGTGGCAGCCTCTCAAAGGATGGGTAGGTGGCTCCACAGAATCTGAATGAAGCATCAAGGTGTCACATTCAGTAGTCGTACAAACTGTAAACTACACAAGTGTCGTAAGCTCTGTGACGCGTGCCTGGAATTGTTTTAGTTTGTTGAGTGTCCTCTCTATGTCCGCAGCCTCTGGAGCTGATCTGTGAAAAGGCCATGGCAACGTGTAACCGGCCCCTGGGTCCAGGGGAGGGCCTGCGCCGCGTCATGGAGTGCATCGCCTCAGGGATCCTTCTTCCAGGTCAGGGATCAGTCCTCTATTGCAACCTCCAGGCCCCCTCTGTGGTCTGCATTTACACTCTGCACACGATCACGTTAGTTTAACATCGTTTGTGAAACCCAGGATGAAATGTAGGTGTCTCACCATTTGCTTGGTGTGTATGGTGCGCACATAGAGAGAAATACAATTGTACGAAAATTGACTAGAACTATTACAATTGTTTTTTAAACCATATAAAACATAGGGACATATTTACACAAAATATATACCCGGGTAAAATAAAATAGGTGCAGTATTGGAATTTAAAGTGGAAAGCTTTGCTGATTTAAGAAGGGGTAGTGTTTAACAGAAATATGCAAAGGATATTGGCAATGTTAAAATGAACAATATTCGTTCACATGATGTGAATACACTTAAACCTTAGTGTTTACAGAGGGGGTAAGAGTAGTTAGGGTCCCAGACCTTGTTGATGACCAGGCCTCGTATAGAAAGATATAAACAGAGGTGAACATAAATCTCCATATCTTTATTTATTTTTCTATTTGCAAATGTGTCTCTGCAAATGTAGGTGTCGTTAAAGAGTGTATTTAAGAGGCCCTGTTATGCTTGTTGGGATTTTCCCTTTCCTGTAGTGTGTTATATACGTTTTTGTGTGCATGTTAATGGTCTGCAAAGGCTAAAATCCTAAAGTTCCCTCCAGAGGGAGTTTCTCTCCCACACACTCCCCCCTGCCTGAAACTTACTTTATGCTGCTTTTATACTAATTTGTAGTCAGTAGCTGTTTAAAACCTGTGTTACAATGATTTGCTCATTAAAGAGGCCTTATTATTATTTTTTCGGGGTTTTCCCTTGTGCATGTAAATTGCCTGCAAACCAGCCTGAAACACCTGTTTTACACTTCTTTGTATACCTTCCGAACATAGTGACATCCCTATGTAAGCCTCACGCTTCTATTGGCTAGCGCCCCAACACTGTACATGATAAGGTAAGGGACAGGACAACTATAAGTGCTTGACCAATCACAACAGAGCCGGCCAGCTGACCAATCAGAGCAAACTGGGCTCTGGTTTCAGACAGAGGGTGAAAAGAGGTGCTGCAGCACAGGCAGTATGAGAAAAATAAAGAGCTTTTTGAACATTAAAGCATGGAGACATGCCACAGTAGAGGCACTAAATACAAATAAGAACCAGAAAATGAGCAAAATATGTCCTTAAGGTTTGGATTTGAAAAAATAATCCAAGCAGTCAGATTTGTGCAAATGTTATATTCAACCTCAAGTAGATTGAACTGGAAGCTAGAAAATGCATTTCCTGCTGAAAATGCGTGTGAACGCTGTAAACTATGAACATTTGTGGCTGAATTTAGCTGAAAAATCTGAATATTTTATTAGCTGAATGGTCTCTGTTGCTGCTTTAAGCTACAAAAACCAAGTAAGTGTGTTGCTGAACTTAGCGGAGAAATGCAGAAAAGTGAAATGACATGAGTCAAAATTGTTAAAGCTCAAATGCATTGCAATGACTTTGTTGAACACTTCAAAGTGACATGTTAAACTGGAAGAGTAGAACAAATAGTGAAGAAGCTTAATATTTAAAATAAATGGTTTAAAAAAAGGTATAAACAACCAAATGTAAAAAGTCAAGAAATGAGCGAAAACCGAAAAAAGAAGCAGCATCTGGCTGCATTTCAATGATATTGGAGAAAGCAAAGCTGAGTGCAGGATTTGTAAGATGAAAATAACCTTCAGAGCAGGGTTTTTTTTTGGTAACCACTCAGGATTTATTGCCAGAGGTGGGAGAAGTTCAGATCTTGTACTTCAGTAAAAGTATCAGAGTGTAGGAATACTCGGTTACAATAAAAAGTCCTGCATTCAAAATGTTACTCAAGTAAAAGTACAAAAGTATTAGCATCAAAATATACTTAAAGTACCACCTGCAGAGGGATCTAGATGCAGGTGTTCTTTTCCCCATAGAGACCCCCTCGCTGCACATTATCCCTTGCATAAAGATAGATTGTGGGTCCCTTATAACCAGGGGTGCACACAACTTTCTGAGTTAGGTACTCAGATGAGTACCTGGAGTCAGTGTTTGGTACTCCAACTTCCGGCTCCCCTCAAAGTTCCCATGAAGCCCTCTGTATCGCGAATATCAGCGGGTGGGGGTGCTAGTGGAGTATGATGAAGCCCTCTGTATCGCGAATGTCAACGGGGGGGGGTAGTAGTAGAGTGCAGAGCTTCGTGACCACAGAGCGTGTGAACGTTGTGATCAGCTGTTTTAGCGCAGTGCCAAACTAGTCTTCCTCAAAATTACACGTTCTAGGGAACCTACAACTCACAGGTCTTACAAAATAAAGGTGACACATTTTGTACAATATTCGTCCCCACGTGTATCACCCATGCGGTCCATGCGTACGCGCCGTTGTTAGACTTTACGGCATGGCAGTTGAACACCCAGTGTTTCGGCGTAAACGCATGGCTTAATATTACAACCTTCGAAAAGGTCTCCGCCATCTAGGGCCTCTGCCTCAGCTAGGAGGGCACACGTGTCGTCCCGACAGCCGACAATTGCAAGCCGG